GCTCAAGATCTTCTGTCAACACATTGATTATATATAGTTACTTGGAATATTAGACTAGTATCGTGGATAGCGTTTCATTCATCTGGTTGGAATCTTTAGCTTTTCTTGATTGTTAGACTTGGAAATCCAACATCAGTTCACGTCATGAATATATTTTCTTCTATATTTATCTTATTTTTCAAACTGGCACCAGTTGACCTCATGAAGTACATGTACTTCTTTTTTTACCCTCTCATTTTTCATAAGCTGCTTTAAAATAGAGATGTATATTGTTGCTCCACCTAGCACCTGTAGGATATAGAAGGACATCCCCCCCCCCCACCCTGAGTCGGGTCTCTATTTAAATTTGTTCTTATGTAACCTGTTCATAAAGAACACCTGTATATAATTAATAAACATCTCTGTTTTCAGGTTCAGCCATATTCGTAATGTTTTGTATTTTGCATATGAAGACTGCTGGTTTGTAGGATCAAAACATGTACATGTAAGTAATGCCATATGAAGAAAACCATTTTCTACAATTAAAGTTCCACCTTTGTCCAATTTTTAGTAATTTAGATACTGTGCTACATTATAATATTTACTCTATCAGGAGAAACAAACAATAAATGTAATTGCTGAGATTCTGACAAAAATATTGTTTACAAATTTCATCCATTTGTGAAATATGCTTTGACCTCCGTAGTGCCTCTGTTTTGGTCAAGTCCATCGACATCCTATACATAACGTACACTGTAAGACCTTGATATTGATATACCGGTACCTTGACTGAAAGGTTCAGGGCCTGGGAATGCCTAAGAATATTCATTCAGTTCCAGAAATCATATCAGTTGTACAGTGTTGTAGTTGGCACCGAATGGCTTGTGTACTTTATACTGTTTGCAAGAGATTCCTTGCAAACTACAGTTTAGTGATGAAAAGGAAATGTGGCCTGGAAAGTCTTCTTTTTTGGAAGTCATTAAAATGTATGATGTTTAGTAATTAGTATAACACATTTTAAAAACGCTCGTAATCTGCAAATTATTACCCTGAGTTTGTGTGTTTACTTGCCCTGTTTTACATTTCCTTACAACTTGCATGTCATGAGAAAATACTTTCAAACACCAACAAAATGTTCCCACAGACAAGCAATGAAACACAATTTTGAAGGGAAGGGTGTCATTACCCATGTCACACTTTTAAATTCTTATCTGTTTATCATACCTGTACTATGCAAATGAAGTATAAACATGAATGCATGACTAGTCTTACAGTTTGTTAGCCTTGTATTCAATTCATTGCTGGAAGTTTGCGAAACAAACTTTTCTTGGAATTCAAATTAAAGTTTTCTCATTTGATGAACATGATTTTTTGGGGGGTGATGTCCTTGCTATAACTCATTTATTAATCACTATCATTTATATGACTTTTAGGGATGGAGGGATGGGGGGAATCTCAAGTCATTCCCAGCGCATAGAGACACTTTAGTTTATTATGCGCTTTATAAATATTGTATTATTATTATTACTATTTCATCATCTTTGACTTTACATGAACCCCTGCAGCTCGTGTTAATCACCCTCATATTATGTCTTGCTATTTTTTAATTAACACAGTTTCCATTTTTTTAAATAAAAACGATACAGTTGTATAGCTATGCACCATTTTAGTATGTTAATAGGCAATAAGATCAATAATCATCTGTTGTGAGCCAGAAAGATGTTAGCTTACATACTTTGATTTAAGAGAGACTTAACTCCCGTCTGGCTCTCAAAAGACAAAACTTGTAATTTAGGGCAGGTTCTAGTGCCAATAAATTCTCAACCCATATCCAAAGAGAAGAAGTGAAGATGTACCAGTCAACGAACCCAACCAAAACACCTCTGTGTTGTTGTTTTCTATTTAGGGTCATAAGTTCATTGACCTCATGACCTTGACAGGTAGACAAACCTAAGGTCTAGGTCTGGTTCTCCTAACTGCTATTTCCTGATGCCGTTTAGGACCAGGGCCTTCTTAAGTCTACTAATTGATTTGCTGTCTGACAGCATAATTACCGAGTGTTACGACTCTGATTGATTTCAGGTGAGAGAGAAGGGAGAGGGAGAACAGAACCACTTGAATTTTTGTTTGCAGGTAAAACTATTGTCTGTCTGAATGCTACAGGGGATGAAATCAACTTGCCATGCCTTGGCCCTGTATGACTTTGGTCAGAATCAATGATTGTTTTGTTTTCTCTTTGTTTTCCTTTTTTTATTGACTGAGATCACTTATATTTATCCCTGTAAAAGAAAAACAAATTATGATTTACATCAGCCTTGATTTGGCTGACAATTCCGGTTAAAGATGAAGTTGAGTTCTGGTCATGCGATTGCATTGTGAAAGAAACGGTATGGAACCGACCAGAAAAGGTTGGTCATCTAGCATATAAGAATTTGTGTGTATTGCAAGGTTCTGGAATCATCAAAATGATAAGAAATTTGCCCAAGTCTTGGTAAAGTTGGTAAAAAGCACTTGCACAGAAAGATGTATATGGGACTACACGAACATGTGGCGTAAAAAGCCGGCCCCCTGATTTTTACGATGTTACATGCATATTTAGAATATGAAGGCATTTGAAGAGCCATGCTTTTCAGGCAACATGTCTTAACTGATGTTCTTCCACACTTGCATAATAAGAATGAGTAATGCTCACAAATTATTTTTCACCTCTTCCCAGAACTCAACCTTCTCTTTAAGATGATAGTGGCTTTGTACTTTCACATGAACTGTATGTACTGCAGCTCTGCTTGTTTTATAAAAAAGAACCACCACTTCAGAAGTGGAATGGTGCCAGTTATTCTTGATTTCAATACATTTTGTTTATTGTTATAGAAATTCTACTCTTTCATCCATCTTAAACACATCTTCTACAGGTTCCTTACACACCTTGGGGGTGTTTCACAAAGACTAAGATCGACTTTAGTTAAACTTGAAGTATGGCAGGCCATTCATGCCACTGGTCGCTCTCACTATTGGTCTCTCGAGGGACGTCACAAATCTACAGAATTCAAATTTTTGGATACTTTATTATTGAATTTTTTTAAAATCTAAAGATCATAATTTATAATATAAGGTTCTTTCATCCAATTTTACATCTGGTTCAAGAATTTTTAAGGGCATAATTCGCCTGCCATAGTTCAACCTCAACTTGAGTTGATCTTAGTCTTTGTGAAACACCCCCTAGGTCTTTCTCTCTCTTTGTGTAAGACACTGATGGGCTTGTACCATGCGTTATCTGCTCATTTTAATTTGTATTAAACGTAGATGTTAGTCAGATTAGCAAATTGTTGTACCTGTACGAGAGAGGCTTGACGTCATTATGGGGGCAAATGTTCCCCCCATGGAACGCAGCATCACGAGACCACAATCGTTTGGCACCTACCCCATTACACCCAAGATTAATCGTTATCTCCAACTCTAACAAAGCAACTGTGTAACATCGCTGTGCATTGGCTATCCATTTTCACCCGTTTGAACCAAAATGGAAGATGTCATTTGTGTTACTGACTTGTAAGGTTGAGAAGAGGGTTAAATGTACTTTCATGAATAAAAGTTACCTGTTATAGATAAGATATTCTGTGATTTATCTCAACAAAGGGACATGGGCATGATGGATGTGTGGGTATGATATCATCATCATCAAAAATATTTTGTATTTTGACAGTGACAGGTCACAAAAGATAAAAGTTTGGAAACAACACAGGTGAATGAGATAGTGTCATGAACCGATGATCCAGAGTCGGGAGGAGGAAGAAGAATGTCCCTTTAATTTGGTACGCTGAGTTTGTTCAGTGAATTTGAAGAGGAAACTGGGTCGGGACAGCTTGTGGTGAAAGTTACACCACTCATCCTGTGGAAGGAAGTCTTCCCCTTGTGGTGCTTGTGAAATGAGAGCGTTTTTTATAGTAACCTTACCTCAACCATTTTGCTTTTATTTAGCTTAGAACTGTGCTCGTGTGATGGAACTCAAGTTGAATGCACCTCAGTTTTGTGTAGAAAGAAAACAAGGAAAGAAAAACATAGCAGTATCGATAGCTTGATCTGCAGAGACAGTGAGATGAACTCGAAGAACTGCCTGAACCATACACGTACTCCCCCATATATAGAACAGAAGTAGAAATTGAATGTTTTTGCTATCATGTTTAGCAGTAGGCATAACAAAAGTAGTTCCTGGCATGGAGAATGTTATCACTGATTTCAGGTGGTGGAGTGTTTGATATGTCAAGCTTTTTTTTACAGACATTTCATTGACCTTACATAGAACACAGAAATTTGCAGATTGACAGTATGAATCATGGCCCAGGATTCATCTATATTCTCTCTCCCAACCCAGGTGTAGGAATAAGTAGGAAGACTTAGGCCTGTCCTCATCAGACCAAAGTTGCAAAATAACCTGCTATTTTAACTAACCGAAAGATAAATCTTGGTCTTCTTTCCAATATAGCCTGCTATTTGGGAAAAAGTGGGCTAATTTGTGCTAGTTTGTGATGAGCGTATTGGTCTAGTGAAGACGCAATTTTGAGTCTGAAAATAGCGGTTATTTTGCAACTTCTGTCTGATGAGGACAGGCCTCTTGAATGCCATGAATCCTGTAATCAGTCATGTGCTTTATCTCCAAGTTGATGATAACAGGTGCACGTACATGTACATGTACAAGTACAAGTGGATCTCCTTTTGTTAATTTGTTTTGGAGGGACTTAATAATAATATTTGATTGAGGATTAATTCTTTCTCATATGGCACTAAGTCATAAACCTGGTTTTGAACCTGATACCTACTGGTCACATGATCCCTGCTTTAACATTGAGCCATTGTACTTCACTTATTTACATGAACCAACAGAATTATCATTATCATAGTAATCATAATATTCTTTCTCTCTCTCTCTCTCTCTCTCTCTCTCTCTCTCTCTCTCTCTTTCTCTCTCTCTCCCTCCCTCCCTCCCTCTCTCCCTCTCTCTCCTGTTTTCTTTGTTTCTGCAGGTTGGTCCACAGTCTTCAGTTTGAGGATCATGATGGCAAGGTCAAGGATGCTAACATGAAAGATGCCGATACATTCTCCATCTACGATCCAAGGAATCCGATGAACAAGAGAAGAAGAGAGGACGGCAGTAAACAGAAGAAGAAAGAGAGGAGATGATAGTAAAAAGATGAAGAAAGAGGGGATAAACTGTCACTGTGCTTCATGTCTTGTTTTTTATGCAAACAAGGAACCAGTAATATTGCTACTGAGACCCAGTGGAGAGAGCACAGTAAACAGAAGAGATGCAATAGAATGCCTTCAGTATCTGTGATCCAAGGAATCTGATGAACAAGAAAAGAAGGGAGGACAGTAAATTGAAGAAGAAAAAGAGAAGGTGATGGAAAGAGAAGAAAAGAGTATTGTAGTAAACAGATGGAAAACAGAGGAGAAACCATCGCTGTGCTTCTGAGAACTTAAGATGAAAAGATATTAAAACGAAGAGAAAAGACAAAATATGATGGTAAAAAGAAGAGAAAGAGACAAGAAGTTGACACTGCTCCTCGCAACCTCTCTTTCAAAAAGCTTGAGTTGCTTTACGATGCCACTTCGAACATTTATTCATTGAACCAACAATTGTGCTTCTGAAAGAAGGATGCTGCTTTTAACACCATTCAGTGAAAATTATCTTTATGTAAGCATTGCGAATGCACCAGTATGCAACTCTTTTCTACTTGTTGGAGATGACCGCTTATAATCATTAAAAGCTCAATTTTAAGAAATGATGCAAGTGCCATCAAGATGCAGATGTCGTTTCTGTTCATTGAAGATGATAGTTGGAACCACCAAACACACTTAAAAGGGAACGTTCGACTTCATGCGATACGTCACAGAACGGGCCGTGTGCAAACACAATGGCGACGTCCAAAAATTCTCAGTGCTGAGAAAGACGAAGGATTCTGAAGAAGAGTTACGTCCTCCCTTTCGTCAAATGTATGAGGTTTTATATTTCTCAGATAATGTTTTAAATGGCCTACAAACTTAAATTAATATGTAGTTGGAGGTTAATTCCCCTTTAACATGTTTACTTCTGAATTCTCTCATTCCCATAGCCTCAATACAGGATCCAACCGGTTCCTGTAGGCAATTAGTTAAGAAGTGTCGGGACGCACAAAGGTACAGACATTTCTAAAAAAATTGGTCTTACATCAGTGCTTTCCCAGAGCCAAGGGAGAGGGGCTGATCAGTAGAAGAGGATAGAATGATGATAGTGATTTTAACTATCAAATTGCAAACATTTATTGATTAACAAAGTTGTTGATAAACAAAGTTGTTTCATTTACATTTTAATCTGATGTTTATTGCAGTGGATATAATAGTTAAACCCATAGCTTAACTGTACTGTACTCAGATTAAAAGATATAAAGAAGCATTCAGATGTATATCATTACAGCTTCATCTATGATTTTTGCTTTCTGAGAGTCATAGAGAGAGCAACCAGTACAAAAGATAAGCCATCACATCATACAGTAACTGTGATAAAGCAATTTGCAACAAAAAATAGATGGAAGAAATGCTTTAGATATCTCAGTTTAAGATTCGTGCTACATTAACGCCAAATAAACTGAAATGGATGAAACAAGTATTCCCTCCCCCCCCCCCCCATTTTGTATTCATTTATTTATTCATTTTTATTATTTATTTTTAAAATATTTCTAAAATATTTTGGGAGGAGGGGCAGGGGGGGGAGGGGATATGTTTTAACTTAAAAAGTTCTAGTGTGTTAAATACGTTGGAAAACTACAAAGTTATTTTAGGGGTGCCTCTGACTATTGTTTGTTTACCTTTAAGATCTGTTAAATTCAAAGTGCAAAGACAGCCCTAGTTTTCACTTTGAATTGTTTTGTAATCATTCTTTTTTTAGCAGTATTAAGGAACCTGGGATGTCCCATTTTAACCGCAATTTTCCTGTGAACTTGAAAAGAGAAATGTTTTATATTCATTATGGCCTTGAGAAATTGTCAGGAAATCTATCTGGCATCTGGACACTGCTCTTGTAGTGGTGCCAATCATTGAGAGAGAGAGAGAGAGAGAGAGAGAGAGAGAGAGAGAGAGAGAGAGAGAGAGCGAAGAACATAGGAAGATTTGAGAGAAACAGAGAGAGGAGAGAGGGATTTTTGAGAGAGAGAGCTAGTTAAAGATTAGGAGACACACAGCATTGAGTCTCGTACAGTATTATTCTAAATCTTGGCCATTTAGGGTTTCAGGTTTGTTTTGCCTGGTAATCAACGGGTTTAACTAATATACTCCATTTAGTATTCCCTAACTATGCTGAATAATCTGTAATGTTCAACTTTGTTTCTTTATTAAATGAAGTTAATGAACGGATGCTCTAACTGTATACATTATATCAATCTGTTATTGTTTATCAAATGTACCTGGTCCCCTATCTAATTATGAGGAGTTATGATATACCGGTATCTGGATTACACACATACTCTCTAATCATTGGATCATGCAGTGACTTTTGATTAATATAGGGGCTTGAAATTGATTTGGATGATGATGATGATGAACAGCATTTGTATGGCGCCATATATCTGTTTCAAAAAAACATTCAAAGGCCCTGTCATATAAAACATGATAAATACAAATTATCTTTGTATCAATCATAAAGTCACAATCGCTTTATTTGTTATGATATTACAAGATGCAGTTAAATGTGGTATCAAGCTATAGAATCAATTGCTGCTCTGTGTATACTTACATTTGTATATAGATATTTCTGTGCATTAAATGCTCATACAGGTGAAATGAAAAATTGTTGATGTGCATTGATATTTTATCAAACTGTAGTTTTAGAAATGAATGGGAACCTATTACAATAAACGTATCGTCTGTTTGGAGCCAGAAGGGCATTAACTCATATACGTTGACACAGGATTATTGCCCAACTGGCTCTGAACATATAATATGTAAGAAGTAAAACAAGGATCATACAATTGAAATGATTTTCTTTTTAATTGGATGTAATTTCAATTGGGTTAATGTGAAAGAAAAAAAAGAGCTTGAGAACTACACCTATTGGGAAATAAGGTGTGGTGCTGAAGATGGGAATGTGTAGAGTAGGGATGAAGACGAAGATGACAAACTGAGGAAGGAAGATGATGATGGTGTTAGTATTGGTAGTAGCTGTCGAGGTGGTGGTTGTAATGGTGATGCTGGTAGATGTGCTGTCAGCTTCAGTGATTGTGCAAGTTGCCAAAGATGTGATGATGGTAGTGGAGATAGTTCTGTTGTGTTGGTGATGGTATAGTGATATTAATGGATGGTGGTACCTGTAGCGGTAGATTGTGACTATACACAGGAATTCTATGTACTAAAATATTGATGAAAAGCTAAGGCTATGCTCTACATAAAGTAAACTTGGTACGAAAGTGAAGACACGATGCATTGTTGATAGTGTGACGTTCTTTGTTCAACACTCTCGAACAGAGCGAGCTACAATATATTTTTAGTATATTTCATATTAAGATGGTTTGAAACGTTTATAATAGAACAAATAATAGGGAAGATAAAATTTGGTACAGTTTGCTGAAACAAATATTTCAAATCAAAGTATATGAGGGAAGACTTTTTGAATATATATAAGTTTACACTTTCTTTCCTGCATAGAACCTTTTAATAGCGTAATAAAGCCATCTTTCATGAAAACGTTCTTGATTCAATGTTGTAATCCAAACTTTTGCAAAACATACCGTCCACTTAAATCAAGGCATTTCCTGTCAAAAGAGACCTTTGAATATCTATGACTCTGGCCATTACTAGTGTCCGTTTCCTGGTCAAGATTGACCACGGTCAGACAGCATGATGCTTGTCTGGTAGCATACTTTCGTTCTCGATTTAAAAAGAAAAATGGGTAAAAGGTCTTTTTATATAATAATTGAAGAAGAGCGCTATCTAGAGGCCCGGTCTGACGTAACCGACGAGGAACAGTTACTGTAATTATACCTGCAAATAAGGTTACTAATAACTTTGTTTGGGCCATCCAAAGTGCTCCTAGTGAAATATTAGTGGCGTAGGTGGTGGTGGTGGTTGTGATGATGGTGATGATGAGGACGAATTTTCGGTGGTGATGATGATGTTGGTGGTTTTGGAGGAGTTGTTTGTATGATGAGTGTTTGATCGACATGCCGGAACGGATTGATTAAATGATGGGTATGTAAATAGTGTTTGATTGTTGGGATATACAGATTAATTGATCTACATTTGCCACTCTCCACTCGGGTGTTAAAATGTGTACCCGATAGGATGCGAAAGCTGTGGTTTGATTAGCAATGGCGCTTGTAAAATGGCGACTGGCTGGAATGCTCCCCAGGGAGTGGAGAATGTGCATACCTTGTGTGCGGTTAAGCCTGAATCCGATGACCGGGGTAATAATATGTTCCGCGCCTAGAAACAAAGTATTAGGCGCATTATAAATGTGAGCTATTATTATTATTATTAAGCTTATTCGTGGATTTCAGTGATTGATTGGTTTTGTTTAATCTTTTTTTGTAATGCTTTAGATTTAGACATCTCGAATTTTGTACATATTAAAAATACACACTGGAAGTTGCGTAATAAGGGTTGGGAGTCTGTCAAAATGGCTTAATAAAATATTAATAAGAACTGAAAGAGGGAAAACATTCACAACTTACCTATTTTTTCCTTCTTCAAATACCCAAGGACATACATGACAGACAGGTGTGCCAACACTTGTAAACAAATATCATTTTTTGATTGTGAATAGGAATAAACAACTCTGAAGGAGAATCGATGTAAGTAGATCCTTTTATGTCATCGCACAAACTTCTCCGAACGCGCCATAGGGGTTAATTACATTATTGCATAATCCCTTAATATAACTGACTTCTTTTTCTTTCATAACGATTGATGAATTAAATGGTTATTAGTACAAACATTCATGTTTACTCAAATCCTCCCACGCATTACGAGTGCCCTTCGTAGGGAGCTTAATATTGATGAATTGCCAGGAAGTGCGGCTTTCCCTTAAGCAGCCATTAAGGCTGGTAATTGCCCCTATCACCAGCCTCGTTCAATTAAAATCATAGACATAACTTCGATAATAGTTCACAGCATTGACGAATAGCCGGTGCGGTTGGTTACGTAATAATCGCTAATGAATGAAGTTGCGAAGACTTTCCCCGAGCCGGCGGCTTTCTGACACCTTGGTATCTATTAGCCCATTTCGCTGCTCATCTGCACTTTAAAGTTGTGACCGTTGTTTGTGTGAATAAATCAGATGATGAAAGAGAGCATCGAAGAGGTATATGGCTGTTTGTGGAAGTGACTGGTGCCACTGGGAGTGTCCTCGTGTGACTCTGTTAAGAAGGATGAGAACATGAAATATATGAAACATATGGTGCGAGAAAAACTTTTTTCCTGTTAGTTTTCTCTACTCATGACCTGAAAAAAAAGATTTTCTTGAAGGAAAACACAGCAATACAAGTTAGCCAACCACAATGATTTTCGCCAGTAATTTTTCGTTGCACTAAATTTGTAACTGTTGACATCCATTTAGTTCATGTAATTCGAATGCGGAAATGTCTTAATCCAACATACCATTCTAAGTTTAGTAAAATACCACCAAAAAGACTTTATGAATGTCCTCAAAAAGAACTTTATGATTTTGTTTTCTTCTCAGTCTGCTGCGCTTACCTCCGCTTTCTTCATCTTAATCTCAGTTATGGTAAATGATTTCCTTTCTTTCTAGTAGAGCTAAGCATATCTTTTCAGTTACTGTAAAGATATTTGCTAGAAAAGGGTACGGAGTTTGCTTCGTTGTAGTCATTATGCCGGTACTCCAAATTTGAAGTAGCTTAATCATTAATCGCCGTCACTTTCTAAGATTTAAAACAAACACAAATCTGAGACGGTAAGATCGCCCACTCCTCGTGAGCTAAATGTCAGTTGTCATAGTTTCATGAGTTGTTTGTATTGTGGCTAATTAAAAGCTGCCATCGTAAATAATTGTCACAGACACGTCTGTAGTCTAGGGCATTTTTGTCATTTGCCGACCGTTTCTTATTCTTAGATCGATGAGGCTATTTTTAGCGCCAGCCCGTAGTTAATGTTGAAGGTTATTCGCACACAAGGTTTAACAAGGGAAATTGATCACAGTTAGTGTTCGAGAGAATGTTGATCATCCACGAAATTGTGTGTGCATTGAAATTACGCCACTCCGCGACCCCCTGCAGCGGAAACTATTGACCAATCACGGTAGACGTTGTGACGCGCCGTAGTTAGACGCGTGCATGAAAACACCCAGCTGTGCAGACGAAACTGTCATTTCGACGCACTCTATTTATGTAACACCAGTGGTCAGTGAGCTACATAAAAGAACATTAACAGAGGACCATGGAAAATACATACCAAAAAA